CAGCCAAATATGAAGATTCTATACCTTTTAGTTCTTCAGAAGAAGTCGTTTGAAGTTTTTGACATATTTGACCCCGTGACCTTGAAAACAGGTCAAGGTCATTTTCGTTCTCAAACTTTGTAGGGCTCCTACCAACGAAGCTTTCAGCCAAATATCATGACTCTAGGCCTGTCCGTTCTTCAGAAGAAGTTGTTTCAAGGAAAAGTTGACGGACGACGGACGGACGACGGACGCCGCGCCACGGCATAAGCTCACTTGGCACTTCGTGCCAGGTGAGCTAATAACGCTGTTAGATTCCAGTACAGCAGGGGGGTGTAGTACATGTAATACAGTAAAAACCTTGTTATACTGTCACCTTTCGTCCAGAGAAATGTTGGCGCCATAAAGGTGTTTGGCAATAAATTGAGGAAAATTAAAAAGGAACTTGAGGCCATCATGGTAAATATGTAAGTAACAGCTGATTTGCGTCCATACCATCATGAAATTGAAAAGCATTCTGTTCAATCCTTATTTCAAAGTCGTATCATTGATTGTTTGGGTTTTATGTCCTTGTTCCGGTTATTACCAAGCCTATATATGTATAGGACAAAGAATCTAGACCTAGGACTCAATGTAAAATTTATCACTTTTCATTTGTACACGTCAGTGTTAAGCTCTAACCACTTCCAAGCTACTTCCCTGGCCAGTTGTCTGTCAGATATGACTGGCTAGCCCTGGGGACTCGGACTAGTCCCCTCACAGTCTATACAAATTGACATACATGGAGGCAGAATTGAGGCAGAATATACCTTTAACTTACAAAAGTCTTACCATTAATTTTCCTGCCTCCTTATTACTATCGATCACCTTGCCATTTCTCAGCCATTCATACATTAGAGGTTTGTGACCTATTCCCACACAGGTGAGTTCTGCTCTGTCCCTCAGATGTACACACAAATCCTCCGGCTCAGTCAAAACTTGAGGCAACACCGCTGTACAATAAAGGGGGAACAAATTATGTAACTCGTCAAGTGCTCATGTCTACAAACATATACCACAAAAGCCAATACACAACGATAAATTAGAAATTATACAAATTGACACCATTATATATGCTTGGTCTCCAATGGAAAGAATGTGTCAAATCACAAGTTGTTTGGCATACAAGAATATGCTACATTTCTTGTAGTCTAAGATAATTGCAACAACATCTAGTGCATAATTCAATATCTATGAATTTTCAAATTAAGAACAATAGTTTGACGAATTCTAAAAAAAAGTAGCGGTTCAAGTGTACAGTATTGAACAACATACGTTTTCTAGGCTCACTGTTGTCACCACCAACTTCTGAAGGCATGGACATTTCAGTAGGTGATGTGGCTCTGTAGTACACTTTGACTGAGGAAATCTGTGTAAACTTGCAGAAATCACTACCCCCTCCATTGGACAGACGGCAACAGTATGTACCACTGTCATCAAAACTGTCAACAAAAAACTACAAATGTCAAATTCAGCTTTACCCTTATCATTAACTCATTCACCCCTGAAATTTCATCATGGACTATACCAATCTTTTGAATTGGAAGAGTTCAAATGTGTCTTCAGGTGTGAATGAGTTAAAATATGTGGTTCTGCTGTAAAAGTCTTCTAATCCCAGTTATTCCCCTTATCTATGAAGTCTGTTGTCCAAGTTAATGCAATGGTTTTCCATCCCAGTTATACCCCTTTTCTATAAAGTCTGTTGTCCAAGTTAATGCAATGGTTTTCCATCCCAGTTATTCCCCTTACCTATAGTCAGTTGTCCAAGTTTATGTGATGGTTTTCCATCCCGGTTATTCACCTTATCTATAAAGGCAGTTGTCTAAGTTAATGTAAAGGTTTTACATCCCAATTATTCCCCTTTTCTATGAATTGTATATAATCACATTACTTTCAGAATAGCTTCCATTAATTGTTATAACTTTTCCAACATGCTGTAAACAGATTATATCTTGATAATTTTATTTATAAATGTTGAGTACATATATTTCTGTCACTTTCTAATTTATTTTACAGCAAATAACTTCTATCTACAGTTAAAGAGCAGTGAAATCATGTATTTGCACTAATTATATGAAATAGGCCATATTGTGAATGCCTTGGAAGAAAGAAGGTCCCTCCAAACTTGTTAAATTATTTTTTACATGTACCAATTGAAAACAAACCATGTTCTGTTAATTTTGAATGTAGAATCCTTAGCCCCTTCAATCTCGTCATAGTCGTTGCCGTTGAGTTTGAACCACTGGTAGCGAGGGTATGGAAACCCAACCGCCTCCACATGCAGCTCTAGTTTGTCTCCCTCATGCAGCTGTTTTGTGTCTGCGGGATGGCGAACGATTTGAATCTCCTCTGAACAACACAGAACAAAGTTATGATAAATGATGAATATTGTATAGTGCCTTAGTTGCACAAGGCCCAATAGTGGTGGTGCTACACACCTACTGGTAACCTAAATGGTCATTTCTTTGGGCACTCGGATCCATATTCCTCCAACATTTAAACCTTCCATCTGCTAACATTGAGGCCAACAAGAATGATTAATATAATCTGAAACAAGGCATCACAAGTGATACAAATCCCCTTGCATTCACACACTGTAACATATGTAAAAGGAAATGAAGTCACTAGAGGGATGACAATTTTTTTTCTTTTCTAAAAATAGTAAAAGTGACCTTGACCTTTAATGCAGTTACCTAAAATGGGAACTTGTTCAAGATATTGCCATACCAAACACTTGTATCAAGTTTCATGAAATGCTGTTGATCGAGGAATGAAGTCGTTATAGCGATGACAAAGTTTTTCTAAAAATAGTAACAGTGACCTTGACCTTCAACAAAGAAACCTGAAACACGAACTTGTTCAAGGTATTGTCATACCAAACACTTGTATTAAGTTTCATGAAATTTTCGTTAAGGAATAAAGTCGTTAGATCGATGACAAAGTTTTTCTAAAACTAGTTACAGTGACCTTGACCTTCAACGTAGAAAACCAAAACGCGAATTTGTTTAAGATATTGCTATACCAAACACTTGTGTCAAGCTTCATGAAATTCTGGTAAGAAATGAAGTCGTTAGAGCGATGACAAAGAGTGTAACATACATACATACATGTGTACGTACTTACACATGTACGTGTACTTACCGAGTCCTATAACCCCCTCAAACTTTCATTGCGAGGGGATAACAACTTTTTCCATACTGCTGTAAAATTAATAAAGTTTATATTTTCAACCAAATTTTCTGCATTATTTACCTTTTCTCATGCCTTAACTTTATAATGCTTTTGGTGGTAAATTGGTTTAGATATTAGCAATCAACTTTCATCACGACAGTCAGGGTTCAATTCAGGGATCAGGCATGAAAGGTATGCGGTAACCTGATTGACCATGTGGGTGTTCTCTGGATAAAATGGTAACTGCTATATTGAAGGTGCCAGTGTATGATTTTTTTTAAAGTTTAATTCCCGAATATTTGACAATTGAAATGTGCATTTCCTTTTTTTATGTTGTTTTTCTTTGCCAGTGTAGAGTCTCAATATGTTGATGTTAACTTGAACTACATAAAAACATCTAGACAAGGCACACAAAAAAAGAAAAAAAAAGAAGTTTCCTGTTGCAGGTCCGAATTTGTCTTAAAAAAAAATTAATCAAATAAATAAAAAAAAACACAATTCTTCAAAAAACATCCATAAAATGAGTAGGATTGGCCAAAAAGATAGGTATGGTTGGAAGATGACAACAGGTGTTGCAGTTTTTGCCAAAATATGATTTTTGAAATATCTTAATCAAAGTTCATCATAACAAAATGTATTACATTTTTAAGTACCGGTACATATGTGATTTATTTTGGCTTATTTTTACAGCTGAATACAGGCTGCTTTCCCTAGCAATTTTTTTTTTCAAAATGCAGAACAAATGAATATCTTCAAAATTTTAATAGAAAATAATGCCATATTTCTCTAATTCATGTAGGAACATGTACAAGCTGTTGTAAAATTTACGTTGAAAAGTCTGTTTAACAGGTAAAAATCTTTTATTTACCATATGGCTTCATATCTATCAGAAGGTTTTCCAGTTTGAGTTGATCTAGCACGTGGATGAGTTCAGCCACAACCATGCCCCGAGCACCAAGTTCAGAAATTATCCTATTGGTAGGACTACCATCACCAAACACAAACCGTCCAAACTTGTTCTCTATATCTGTTTGGCTGCAAAGCAAAGATTATTGAGGTTTAAATATTTTGATATACAATGTAAAAGGAAATACCAGAAAACACAAGATAGATTTTTTTATTTTTTTTTAATAAATGTCCAAAGAAAACAGGGGTATCCCCCGGGGTATATGTTTAACCAAAATAAAAATAATTTATGTAATAAATATACACGTATTATATTTTGGAAAACCCCTCTCATAATAAGTTATGACCTAAAGAGAGCCATAGAATATCAATATTAATCTGATGTTTAAGTACAAAGTGGCTTATTCAATAATGCAGACCTTGGTTCGAGTTATCTGAAAAATTCCCATCAGTATATATATAGCCACCCACTCCCTCCTCTCATAAAATTTAGAAGAAAATGATAGTGATAGTTTGGGTAGATGTTGGGAATGATGGAGGTATTTTTTTTCTCAAATGCATTCCTATTTTATGCTGAGCATGAATATTATACTCTTGGTATAAGTTAAGGGCTATTAGGTAATTAACAACCTGAATTCGTAATCATCCCGTAAAGTTGATGCAATCTTAAGAAAGGCACGCCAGCTGCAAGTCTCTGGGTTGTTGTCCAAACTTCTTTCAATTTCTTGCGTGATCTTTGCTGGCAATTGAGAAATGTTTCTCTGCATGCCGTTGGTTCCTCTTTGCAAGTAATCCATATTGATTTATCTGAAAAAGGAACACATTTACACAACTCTCGTTTGAATGTATGTTTTCCATTAAAAAAAGTTCCAAAAAGTGAAAAGAGGATAAATGTTTTAGTACTTAATATACACAATAAAATTTGACATGAATACGAAATCACAATCAGAGGGTACGGACATTTTCAGACATTTCGGTCATTTTGATTTGGTAACAAAAATGTTTCAGTACTTATTTAAGACGTTTTGGTACTTTTAATCAAATGTTTCCATATATTATAAACCCTTTTGTCATTTGTACTTACGTTTTAACATTGTATCTTATTTACTTGTTGTGACCTGCTTGCTTTTGTTTTTTACTTTTTAGATTCTTCAGCATAAGCATATTTGTGTCTTGAAACAATAGGCCCAAGAGAGCCTGTATCGCTCACCTGAATATTTAAGCAGTTATAGCAAAATATTCTCATTAAATATTATATTGCACTAAAAATATTTCCCTCACAAACTTTGTTGGCTCCATCTGTTGAAACTACCAGCAATATATTATTACAAGATTCTATGCTTTTTGATTCTTCAGAAGTTTCTTGACATATTTTCCCCTGTGACCTTGTAAGAAGGTCAATGTCATTTTCCTTCTCAAAATGGTAAGCTCTATTCCAAAAGCTACCAGCCAAATCTTATGAATCCATTCCTTTTAGTTCTTATGAACAAATCCATTAAAATGTTGTTGACCTCTGTGACCTTGAAAGTAGGTCAAGGTCCCTTTCATTCGCAAACTTTGTTGGGCTCTTTCCCAGGAAATAACCAGCCGAATATTAAGGTTCTATAACTTCCAGTTCTTCAGAAGAAGTCACTTGAAGTGTTTGACATATCTGCCTCATGTGACCTTAAAAGTAGGTAAAGGTCATTTTCATTCTCAAACTTTGTTTGGCTCTTTCCTAGGAAGCTACAAGCCAAATATAAAGATTCTATACCTTTCAGTTGTTCAGAAGAAGTCGTTTGAAGTGTCTGACACATTTGACCCCTGTGACCTTGAAAGAAGGTCAAGGTCATTTTCTTCCTCAAACTTTGTCGGGCTCATTCCCAGAAAGCCATCAATCAAATATAAAGATTCTATACCTCACAGTTCCTCAGAAGAATTAATTTGAAGCTTTTGACACATTTGACCCCTGTGACCTTGAAAGTAGAACAAGGTAATTTTCATTCTCAAACTTTGTTGGGCTCCATCCCAGGAACCAATCAGCCAAATATCAAGATTCTATACCTTTCAGTTGTTCAGAAGAAGTCATTTGAAGTTTTTGACATATTTGACCCCTGTGACCTTGAAAGAAGGGCAAGGTCATTTTCTTCCTCAAACTTTGTTGGGCTCCATCCCCGGAACCAATCAGCCAAATCTCAAGATTCTATACCTTTCAGTTGTTCCGAAGAAGTCATTTGAAGTTTTTGACATATTTGGCCCCTGTGACCTTGAAAGAAGGTCAAGGTCATTTTCTCCCTCAAACTTTGTTGGGCTCCATCCCAGGAACCAATCAGCCAAATCTCAAGATTCTATACCTTTCAGTTGTTCCGAAGAAGTCATTTGAAGTTTTTGGCATATTTGACCCCTGTGACCTTGAAAGAAGGTCAAGGTCATTTTCGTTCTCACACTTTGTAGGGCTCCTACCAACAAAGCTTTCAGCCCAATATCATGACTCTAGGGCTATTTGTTCTTCAAAAGAAGTTGTTTAAAGGAAAGGTTGACGGACGAGGACGGACGGACGATGGACGCCGCACCACGACATAAGCTCACTTGCCCTCTTCGGGCAGGTGAGCTAAAAAAAGACTGAAACCCGCCCTAGCTAGTTACTAATGACTAGGATTCAAATCAGAGTATACTACCATTCACATAATCATGTAGTATATATGTGTTTGACTGTATTATTGACTTTATCAGACAGATAATTTAAGAAACATTTCGCAATGGGTTGTTTCTAATACTTCAACCAACTCATCTGAACATTGAAAATAACAGATTTTGTTGGTAGAAATGTGTGTCAATGTCATGAATATATATATTTATATATTTATTATACCTCTACTTATTTACTCTATATAAAAGTAATTGGTTAAATCGAATATATCCCCCCTTTTGCCCGACTGTGTTTTAGTCCTGTGTGTTAGTCTGGGAACTAAAACACACCTACACTCGGGTGTTTCCGCCGAGCCAATCAGGCGAGAGGTGGGCGGAGTTTGTTACCGAACTCGGAACCGATGCTCGAGGTGGGCGTAGCTTGCTACCGACTTCGGAAGCATTTGGCTCCATTGCCATCAAAAGGGTAGTTGGGAAATGAAGCTATATACAGCTTATGGTTTACAAATATTTTCTAGTTTAAACTATCTCTCTAGTGTGTATCTGTATAATAAAACAGTTAAAGTATGGGATTGAGGGATATGGCAAGCTTCTGGTGTCCCTTGACCATGCCTATTTCCCTCGGCTTCGCCTCGGGAAATAGACCTAGCTAACGGCCTGTACCTATCACAACTAGTACTGTAGGCTTCATGGTCATAAAATACTTGTTTACAATTTTAACACATTTGACTTTTGTGACGTTGAATAAGGGTCATGGATATTTGCTTCAACAGACTGATTATAACCCTTTATATATAATTACCTCTATGAGATTGAAGTTAAGGAAGCTTCATGAAACGTGATTTTATTTAAGTTAATGAATCTCCTTATATTTAATGAAAAAGCCAGTTTGAGGAGCTCCTTAAAGTTAAGGAACGGTGATGAAACCGGGGCCAGTTCTTTAGAATTAAGCTTTTTAAAGGAAAAGTTGAATGACAGAAGCTGGATGGTGAAAGACATGACAATTAAATGACAAAAGATAACCTTGGTCTATCAATCGAAAAGCATACAATACACCACAAACAGAGGTTGAACTTGTTTTACTGATTTCTAATATTGAGCTAATCTCTCTCACTCAGTTCCCAATGAGGTGACATCTTTTGGTATAAAGCACTTATTCCTTGGCCAAGTTAAATTATGCTACAGAACAAAGGTTAAAATTTGAAACTAAGCAATCCCTTAACCTAGTTATAATGAAGATGAGTCTTTTTTAAGGTTTACTGATATTTGCCTTATTTCGACCACTTTAACACTCTGTCCTCTGGCGGTATGGGAAAAGTTAAACCATTACAGTTTATACAACATTGAGTCCCCGTCACTAAGTGATGCATCAGATCAACTTTTGTTAAAAAGTTTTGTCACCGATACAGAAAGAGTAGAATTTTACAGACTTCTGTCAATAATCTGCATACCACCTCTGGTGTATCGTTGCAGGTGGACTTATCTCTATTTCTCCTATTGGACCCCCCC